GAGGAGGATTTCCATGACATGTCACACTTTCTCTGCATCTTGTACTTGAACCCACAAGTGTTGATGAGTAACCTGGCCTTTCTCACCGGATTGTTCATAAACATGTCCAATAAAACATAGGCTGCAGGAAAAAAAAATATGGCGTGTTATAGAAATCCTGATGAAATGATGATGATAATAAATAAACAGATATTTAACAGATACTTAGGCTTTAGGTGAAAACTTATATCCCTTATATAATACCAGTCAATGTTTCTATAATTTTGATTGACTGCATGTGTGGTGTTTTTGAAGCATCATCATCATCATCATCATAACAGAGGAAGAGAGTTACACTGGGCGTTTTGACAATCGGCCCTTTCTCATTTGGATTTTCTGACCCCGGCACTCACACGCTCCGGCCAACTTAGGGGATCGTTTGTAAAAATCTTCTCCTCCGGCCCATAAGACTGCCGCGATGCTGATTTTCGTGTGTGTGTGTCATAAAAAAAAAACAGCGAATTCATGATTGCGGGGAAAGGGAACCATCGGCCCAAACGGGGGTCCCATCTCCCCCTTGCCCAGAATGCAAAATACGGTCTCTGTCTAGATGCGACTCCTTCACACAGGGAGGACTGGACGTCCCTCCTGGAGCGAAGGGAGAGTATTTTATTTGAAAAAAAGGAATCCTTGCGTGTATATATATATATATTTTCTGGAGGCAGAAGGATAATGGACTAGGGAATTGGCTTGCCTGCATCTGCTAATTTTGAAGAGAGAGAAAAGCATCGTCCGTTGCGCAAGCCAGAAAATAATTAGTATTTAAATGGAAGAAAAAGGGAACAGTAAAATAAAGTCACTTCTGGTGTTTTCAGATGGGCATCCATGCCCCTTTCCCAGTTTTCTGGGCCATTCCTTCAATCCGACGTAGATCCCACAAGGGCCTGAACGATCAGACCCAAGGATTTCCCTCCGCGTGTCATTTAATGGAACAAAAATTTTTGGCACGTAGATTGAATTAAAAGATGGCGCTCAGTAAACAAGTATTTGGCGCATGAGGCGAAGGTGTTGGTTTACAAGTGCCCTGAACGAGGCCTTTCGTCCAGATTTGCAAGCTCTGAAGGTCCGTTGGCGTCTCGGGTACAATCACGTTTTGCATCCTAAAAATGAAGATGATGATAGAATACCTTCGCACTCCTTTCTCTCTACCCCATTCCTAATTTAACGCTGATTTTTTTTTCCAGATTCATAAATGGATAACCGGCAAGGGCAGGAAGGGCAGGACGCCCCACGACGTGCAGACAGAAAAATCCATATTATTTCCTTTGAGTTTATTTGTCTGCCTAATTAAAATGTGTATGTGTGTATGTGTGTATGCTTTAATCCCTTGCAATATTAGATCAGGGTTTTCATTCTGTCCGGACCAAGCCTGTTTAAACAGAAAACGAGCAGAAATGCCAAAAAACAAAAAGCAAAAAAAGGGGGGCGGGAGACAATAAAAATAAGGGCTTTGGGGGTTTATATGGGGGGATAACGGGAGAAAGGACCTTTTTTACGAGTGATTGGCAGCTGACTTCGTGAGTCTGCTCCGAGCAAGGGCGTCATCTAGCGGCAGCCTTGGCAATTGCAACCAAGATATTTGGAATAACTTTAAGGGCTTTTTAATCCCCAAATTCACTTTTTCTTCTCTCCAGCCGTTGCTGAAGTCCTTCCGTTTGCAAAATGCTAGCGTTAAATGGTGATCAAACGTTGGTTAGTCCCCCCACCACGATTCCTTAACCTGTCTTTTAAATTCTTGGCTTCCCTGTGAGCACTGAAGGATGAAAAATTCACTGGGAACTATTTATTTTCCATTAGTCAAAAGTGAAGATCGGGGTGCCTTTTTTTTTTAAACAAACGGGTTTAATTTTTTTTCTCCAGTGATCGCACGAGATCCTTTCGTTTTCCGACTAGAATTACAGTATATATAGAATATAGAGAACAAGCGACTTCAGCTTGGATGGTGAGAATTTCTTGCCAGCGGTGGAAAACACCATCATGCTTCTTCCCTCCCACCAATGTTGGTCTGTGTTCTGTGCATTTTGTTTTCTTAACCCCTCAATCGTAAAATGCAAAGAAAACAGAGCATCCGAAGCAAAACACGCTTTGCACATTGCCAGAAGCGCTGCCGTTTACACCAGGGTAAAAAAATGTTTTGATAGTCCCCGGCGCTGTTGCCTGACCTTTTTCTGAGTTTTCTAAAAGAACGATTTTGCATTTAAAAAAAATACAGTTCTAGGCATATGAGAAGAACGTGGAGAGGCTGCGTGGCGCTTCAAGGAGATATAAAAATATTTTAAATAAATAAAAATATTTTAGGGATGGGGGTTGCCTTCATTTCCAAGAGTTAGGAAATGATTCAGCTTTGTCTCAGAAAAATGTCGGGGGGAAATCGACTTGTGGAAAGCCAGGATCTGAAGTGAAAATT